TGTAAGAGGTTGCCCAGGGCCATGCAGCTGGAACCAGGATCTGCTCTGCAGACCACCGTCCCAATCACTATCTCCACTGCCTCCTTGGGAGGGTGTGCTGCCCAGGGGAAGTCAGGGCACTGGGGAGGAGGTGAACAGGACTGCTTCTTGCTGATTGAGGAGTAAGGACTCCCTAGATGCCTCAGCCTGGCATACTGATGATTTTGAGCTGGAGGTACTTGAGAAGTGGCAATTGCAGGAAGGGCTATGTGACTGTCCCTTTCCTACCTATAGCAAATCAAAAGTTAAAAAACAAAACAAAACAAAAACCAAAGAACTCCTACTGGGAAAGCTGCTTCCTCCGGACCAACACAGGACAGTAACCATTTTTACCRGTGTCCAGTAATCGATGTTGCGACGGCTCTGTCTGCACAAACTTACCAACATAACCCTCCTCCTCCGCTGGCTTTCTGCTCTCCATATACCTCCTGGGGACTCCCCTGAAATTTTAAATTTTATTTTATTGCTCCAAGCTCAGATCTATCTGGCTCATCATTTCTTCCTCAAATTTATTGCAGAAGTATAAAAGCTTTCTGCTTTGTCTACTCACTTCTTCAGTTCTCACACTCTTGTTAGGATCCCACTGTGAATGTAAAATTAATAAAATGTGTATGCCGGCTGCGGTGTGCACACCTGTAATCCCAGAGGCTCGGGAGGCTGAGGCAGGAGGATCACTAGTTCAAAGCCAGTCAAGGGGCTAAGCAACTAAATCAGTGAGACCCTGTCTCTAAATAAAATACAAAATAGGGCTGAGGATGTGGCTCAGTGGTTGAGTGCCCCTGAGTTCAATCCAYGGTACAAAAAATAAATAAATAAATAAATAAATAAAGTGTATGATTTCCTTTGTTAGTCTGTCTTGTGTCAATGTGGTACCTTGACCCAGCTGAAGATCCCACCTAAGAATACAGATGGGTCGAGGGAATCTTTAGCTTTCCCTATATGACACAGAAGGAATCTAAAAGATCACTTAAGTCGGGTGCAGTGGTACACACCTGTAATCCCAGCAGCTCAGGAGGCTGAGGCAGGAGGATCGCAAGTTCAAGACCAGCTTCAGTAAGTTAATGAGGCCCTAAGCAACTTACTGAAACTCTATCTCAAAAAATAAAAAGGGCTGGGGATGTGACTCAGGGGTGAAGCACCTCTGACTCCAATCCCTAGTATCCCCCCCACCAAAAAAAAAAAAACCAACCCATCAAAACCCCCCAAACTGAAACCACTCAAAATTTATTTCCAGATGGAGAAAACTCCAAAGGAACATGACTTCTCCAAGGCCAGGCAGCCCCACAGCAAGTGCACKGCTGCCCACCACACAGGAGACTGAGGCAAAACAGGGGAAAATGAGGATCCTGCCAGAGTCTCTTGAGGGCGAGAACCCCATTTTACCTTTATTCCCTCCTTCCTCCCCATGGTGCTTGAGTGTGCAGCATGTAGTAGGTGCTCAAAACCTCCTCCACGGTGGGTTCATCTTGGGCCCCTCCGTGGCCGCCATCCCTGGTGGTCATGCCTTCCTTCATGTATCCAGCACTTAGCAAGTGCTGACTCCTTGCTTGGCGCCCTGCATGCGTCAACAGGTGTGCTGCTGAACACAATGCAGTTGGTGCCAATTGGCTTATATTCTGATGGGGGCCTCCGGGGTACCCACAATACAACCTGTGTACCTGTGGTTTTCCTCATTCTCAATTCCCCTGATTCTGTCTAGTGACTGGCAGCCCAGGTTGGAGGCTGAGCAAGTCTGTTCCCTGGCCTTCATATCACTTCTTCCAAGTGGCCTCCTCCCCGCCTCCAGGAAGCCCTCTTTGACTTCCCCCAGGCCCAGGGTGAGGTCTGGTTCTCTGCCCAGGGATCATGTTTGGTCTGTTTCTGTTTAAGTTTACCCTCTCTAATCTCCCTCTTCAGGCCCAGAGCTTTCCAAAACCCCATGGGCCTAATCAGGACCAAAGGAGGGGCAGGAGGGGAGGTTGTGAGGCCAAACCTCAGCATGCAGGGCCTGCCATGGACGCTGGCCCTGGACCTCCTTGGTGGAAATTCCTCTGGAGCTGCCAGGGCACAGCCTTGACTCCCCAGACCTGGCCCAGACCTCTGAGCTCCCCTCTGCCAAGCTGAGCCTGGGGATTCCAGCTGGGTCCCTGCTCACCTCTGCCCACCCTTTGTATTTGAGTCTGTACCTCCCCAGCTCCTGGGGTTGGTCATTTTTCATGCTTCCATGGCAGGAAGTTGGCAGGTAAAAAATAGTTCCAGGCAACCAAGTTATTTCCATTCACCTGCTGGGTGACCAAAGTTACAATGCTTGGCTTCTCTGGGTGTCAGCTAACAGAGAAGAGCCAAACCCAGATAGGGGCTCACTTTAATTATAGCAGAGGAGGGCCAGGTGTCTCGATGACCTGGGAGGGAAGGAATGGGAAGAAAGAAGCCTGCCCAAGGCGGGGGACAGACTGCCTTTCAGGGGATGCTCTGGACCTGCTAGCTGGCAAGGGGCAGGACGCTTTCCTTGTTTGGGTAGGGAAGTTGTCATTTGCTCCCATTAGTTCATTCGTGCCGTGCATGCCTACTGTGCTCCTTCAGTGTGCCTGGTGCTGTATCAGTACYGGGGACCTGAAGCTCAACAAGGGCATTATAGGTCACAGTGCCCTTGCCTTCATGGGACTTCTAGGCCAGGAGACCTCAGCTGGGGAGAGATGTCATTTATTCATCTCTTCACTCATTACATTTATTGAGCACCTACTCTGGGTCTGGAATCCCTGGGGATGCAGTGGGACATGATCCCTGCTCTCAAGTTTAAAGTCGTCTGGGGACAAGGAAGCACAAAGGACTGGAGCCCTGCTGAATTAGAGGGGTAGGGAGTCAAGGCAGTGGGGATAAGTGTTGGCTGATTTAAATGTGCTCCCAAGGATCAAGAACAGGGCCGGGCTCAGACTAAGTATATGTTCAATAAACGTTTGTGAAATGAATGACCTGTGTGTGGGTCAGACATTTCTAAAGAACTTGGAAGTCAAATAATAACATAATTTAAACTAATAAAAATGCTGTGAATTAGAATGTCAGGAAGCGGCCAAAATGGTATATATAGGGAGATTTATCATCTTTAAGAATTTCATATTGGAAAAGAGAAAAGATGGAAAATTAAAACATTCAACTCAAGAAGTTGCAAAATGAAAAAAAWAATAATAAAGAAAGTAGGAGGAGGGCTGGATGCGGTGGCGCACGCCTGTAATCCCAGCGGTTTGGGAGGCTGAGACAGGAGGATCACAAGTTCAAATCCAGCCTCAGCCACTTAGTGAGGCTATAAGCAATTTAGTGAGATTCTGTCCCCAAATAAAACATAAAAAAGGACTGGGGATGTGGCTCAGTGATTGAATGCTCCTGGGTTCAATCCCTGGTACCAAAACAACAACAAAATAAAACAGAGAAGGAGGGAAGTAAGATATGTAAGTTTTGAATATAACTGTCATATTCAGATTCAGAAATTCCAATATGTATTTGCAAATTAATAAAATAGAAAACGAAGATAAAATGAGAAGATTGTCTCAGCTCTTCTGGGATGAATGTGTAGCTATCTGTCAGTCTGTCCTGCATCTTGAGAGCAGAGTTTGTTCCTTGATGTTCTCAGGAGAAGGGATCAACTTGAGTCTCTGACCTTCTTGTCCTGGGCCCAGCTGTGCTGTGCCCTTGGTAAGCCCACATGGGGTCTGCTTGCTGTGTTTGACCAGTCAGGTGTCTGTCATTCTGTTTTTTTGGCACTGGGGATTGAACCCAAGGGCTTTTAACCACTGAGCCACATCCCCAGCCCTTTAAATTTTTTTTTTTCTATTTAGAGACAGGGTCTCACTAAGTTGCTTAGGGCCTCGTTAAGTTGATAAGGCTGGCTTTGAACTTGTGATCCTCTTGCCTCAGCCTCCGCAGCCACTGGGATTACAGATGTATGCCATTGCATCTGGCCAGTTGTCTGTCATTCTTAACCTCTGCTGTACTAGCAATGACATCATTAATGATCCTTTTTATTGATTAAGCTATTATAGGTCAGAGTGCTAGCAGTGAGAGATGTGGCATTCCCGATAGGAAGGACCACTGCTATCTCATCAGATCCCCAGATACCCTGAGAGACACAGGAGAGGTGTGTGCGTCATGATACCAATGAGGAAACTCAGGTGGTACTTGCCTGAGCTCTCAGGCCAGCGAGTGGGTGGGCTGGCAGAGGCCAGCACCTCTCTTCTCACCTTCCACAGCACCCACTTCTGCACTTGGTGAGAAAATCTGGGTTGGCTCTCTTGAGTTGCTGTTTTATTGCTAACCCTGACCSTGGGTTCCCTGGAGTGGAGAGGTGGATGGCACTCTTGGTGTCCAAGCATAGAGCAGGGCTCTGAGAAGGTCTTTGATCCTTATTTGTTGATCTGGCATTGGATTGGCGGGATTAGGCCTGTATCTATTGGAATATATTCTGGATGGTGCCAGTGCTATGGTTGGGCAGAAGTGCTGGAAGGGGAACCCTGCCACTTGGGGAAGCCCCATCTGTGCTTGTTGAGGTGGCCTCCGTGTGCCTGGACAAACCAAGAAGTCTCGAAAGTGTGGATCAACATTATTCCAGTCCCCTTGTAATCTGGTGGACTTTTTCATGTCCAAGTCTGAAGGTATAGCTAGGACCCTGGACCCCTTTCTCTGTAATTGGAGAATTCATAAATCCCACGGTCAGCCTGACTGACCAGTGCCTGTCCTAGCCCAGGGGAGAGATAAAAACAGACACAAGCCTTTATCAATGGACAAATCTCAACACTTTATTCATCCCTTGGCAGGGAGAGGGGGCATTGGCCCAAGCTAGTCAGCCAGTTGGGTGGGGTGGCTGGGATATGTTTATCTAAAATCCAGAGAGTACATACAGCACTGCTCATGCAGAAACAGGAAGGGAAGCAATAAGTTAAAAGCTACATAAGTTATGAAAAAATAATATATATTTCGTATATCTCATATCCCCACTGAGGATTTGCTCCCTTGGAAACGAATAAATAGCCCGAGAGAAAGCAGCAGCGAGCACCCTCTTTGGGGACTTCAGGGATGAGTACATATAGCTGAGTTCCTGCTGACCAGGCTTGGAAGACCATCAGCGCCCCCCACAGGCCTGGAGGACCTTGAGGCCTAGGAGGGGCTGAGACCCTAAGGCACCCTGTCCTGGGAGATGAGAGGAGAGGCAGGCTAGAAGAGGAGGTGAGGTGAGGGTGAGTAGAGGAGGGGAGGAGAGAAGGTGGCTTGTGAAGTGGGAAGCTGCAGCTGGCAGGGTCCCCTGCAAACCCTAAAGGTGAGGCCAAGAGAAAGAAACCGGGCTGCTCCTGCCCACCCCAGATGTTGTGGGCTGCACGGTTTTCTCTTTGGTGGAGCTGTTTGAAGACTGTCATTGGGGCACCCCAGCCTGACCTCAAGGACTCCGAGAGGCTCCCAGACCTGCCTGGATTGTACCTCCTTCATGGCCCGATGGAGGCAGGCAGAGTGGGCATGGGGAGAAGAAGGGTCCAGGGGGGAAGAAGGATCCAGAGGGGGGAAAATGAAAGAGCTAGAAGCCCACAGGTGTGTGGTGTCCTGGGTTCCTCAGGGAATGCAAAAGAGAGGAGGGCCAGACTGGCCCAGTGGAGAGAATAGGGACCCGAGAAGTGGGATTCCTGGGAAATGAGCCATGGCAGGGGTGGGGCTACGGGTCTCCAGGGCCTTTGCACCAGAGCCAGGGTGGAGGTGGGAGAGAACTGGGCTGGGGGCAGAGAACTCAGATCCCAGGCCCTGTGGGGAGCCCTGGAATGACAGGGAGGTGAAGAGAGGGTCTAGTTCTCCTGCCTCAGGTCAGACTGCCATCTGGCTTCTGCTCCCAGGAAGCTGGCCATGGCCAGCAGAGCTTCTGGAATGGCTGGGGGTGGGGGTGGGGGAGTTCTGCCTATGCTCTCCTGAGAGGGACCAGAGAGAAAAGGGTTCAGGCCTCTGACCTCCAGGGCCTCCTCCCTCCACTCCCTAATACTGTCAGGTGTCTGGGAGCCCAAGTGCAGGAGAGCCAGGGGGTCCTCAGCATCCCACCTCTGCAGGGACTCCAGATACAGATAGGGCCTGAGTGGCCCTCTCAGCTCAGCCCAGAGCCTGGGCTGGCGGTGAGGGCAGCAGCCTCTGTTCTGAGATGGCGGCAAGGCAAGGCAAGGCTGGAGAGAGGAGTTGGGGGCAAGCACTGGACAAGGGACTTGAAGCACCTGGGCCTGAGCCCTGCACTGGAGGAGGAGCCTCAGAGGAGCAAGGAGGAGGACACAAACTGACCCCAAGTTCCAGTTTACCCAGCCAGGAAAACCTGTGGCCAGAAGGTGGGAAGGGGGACTGTGAGACATTGGCAGGGCGTGGAGCTGGGGATGCTCCACTCCACCCCGGCAACCCTCGAGAAGGCCGCYTCTGGCTGGAACCCTTCTCCTTTCTGTTCAGCATCCTGGTCTCATCTCCCCTTCCAACCTGGAGGCTCCAAGCTGCTTTCTTGAGTCCAGCTTAAGTCCCACCTGCTGCAGTGGGAGTGACCTGAGACTCCTGGGGTCCAGCTGTCTTAATCTGAGGCCTCAGACTCCTGGGAGAGGTACTTTTCTGACATTTCAGTGATTTTGATCACGGGCCCTCTGCGGTTCTTCTTCTTCCGGAAGGAGCCCTTGGAGTGGAGTGACTTGGAGGCAGCTATACGGGACACAAGGGGTGGGGGAGGGGAGGTGCTGGAGGTTTGGGAGCCACTTAAACAATGCCTTTAGGGTCATGATCCCCTGCACCCTGTGCCTCCCCACCATGGGTTCTTGGGGCAGGTGGACTCACCAACTCTAGGCCTGGATTGCACAGCACTGACCACGGTGGCTGAGGGCAAGTCCATTCTGTGTGGGAGGACATGGGGGTATGTGAAGGGAGATGTGGCTTTAGTTYCCTTGGGATTGGGGACCTCGGGACTGGTAAGTGGAGGGGATTCTTGGTTGTCACTTGCAGCCTTGGATTTGCCCTATGGTATGACCCTGGCCTGCCGGCTCTCTTTGCTTGTCCCCTCTTTCTTCTGTATACATGGCTAATCTTCCTGAGCACTTGTTGACAGGCATTTGCAGGCATCCTCACGTTAACCCTCCCTACTGCAGGAGAGCCATGTTTATAATCAGCCCAGTTTTCAGATGGGAAATTTGAGAATTTAATTAATTGGACTGAGATCCCAGTAACTAGCTCAAGCTGGTCTGGAACCCAGGCTTGCCAGGCTCAGTGTGTCCTGCTGGAGGGGAGGCTGGCTCTGCCTGGCCTGGGCCTCCCTCAGCCCTCCCTCTCTCCAGCCCTGTCCTCACCGGCTCTCCTCGCCCTCCACCAGCTTGCGGTAGGTGGCGATCTCGATGTCCAGGGCCAGCTTGGTGTTCATCAGCTCCTGGTACTCGCGCAGCTGCCGCGCCATGTCCTGCTTGGCCTGCTGCAGGGCCCCCTCCAGTTGAGCCAGCTTGGCCTTGGCATCCTGGAAGGCCAGCTCTCCCTGCTCCTCGGCTGCCTTGATGTTCTCCTCCAGTTTCAGGCACTGCATGCAGGACAGAGGGAGGGAGTTGGTGGACACAGAGGGAGGGAGGGAGCTGGCCGGGGCCGGGAGTCACCTCTGTCCTCGATGGCCTGTGTGTTCTGTGTGTGGGGCTAAGCAAGGTCATTTCTGGGTGTGGTAGCGCTTGCAGTGCAACAAGAGGGTGTTCAGTGAGAGCTAAAAAGGCCTTCTTCTAGGGTCAGAAGAGCTGCCTACAGGGTGGCACTTGCTCTGATGGCTTATCCTGGTTAGAAGCTGGGACTTAGGCTTCCAATCCCTTCTCTCTGATTGGTTGGTGAGGGATCTAGGGGTGGGCCCTGGGTGTGCACTCAGGTTGCCCTCCTCTCCCATATGGCAGGCTGGGAAACCACAGAGGCATAGAGGCGACCTGCTCAGGGTCACTCATTTAGGTCTTGCATGTACTGAGCRTGTATGAGTGTGACCATGTGTCTCCCCGCTTTCCTCCCTGCTCCCACCCGCAGGGGTCCTGCAGATACTCACGTGGCTCTTGACAGAGAGGATCTGGGACCGGAGCTTCTGGATGCGCACATTGAGATCAGCGATCTCGCAGCGGCTGCTCTGGAGGCTGTTCCCAAACTCTGCCGAGCGGGCGGCTTGCTCTTCTAGCTGGAAGGGGATGGAGGAAGTCATGTGAGGGGTCGTTCACTGTGGCCCTCCCAGCACCCCTCACCCTCATCCCCATCTCTCAGTCCTCCTCTGCAGCCCTACTTCATGCCTGACTCCCTCCTGCCCCWCCATGTGCCTCTGGGTGGCCTCTGCTGGGCCACTCTTGGTGAACCCCAATAGCTGTCCCTGCCTCTGGCCTGGTGCTGCTGGGGGACAGCACCACCAATGACCTCCAGGAGGCCACAGACCATGGCCTTCCCTCCTGGCCACTCCTCAGGGGCTGGCAGCTCCCATACCTGCTGTGAAATGCCCACCCATGCCTGCCCCACACGTCCCCACTGCGCTCTCGGAGAACCTGAGGATCTGGAGCTGAAAGTGAGCTCAGCCGTCTCCTAGGGTCCAGAGGGAGCCATCCCGCCCCACGTGGTCAGCCCCCAACCTGGCTGCGTGAGTACGCCTCGGCCTCCTCCAGGCTGCGGGCTGCGATGGCGTCATACTGGGCCTTCACCTCCTCCACGATGCCGCTCAGGTCGATGTGGCAGCGACTGTCCATGCCAACGGTCACTGACACATCCTTCACTTGGGCTGCCAGGTCCTTCATCTCCTGGCAGGGCACAGATGTGGAGGGCTCAGGGCTGGTGGGGAGGGCACGAGGCCCCTTAGCCACCCACAGTCCCTTCGTCCCCAGAGGCAATGGAGAGGGAGGCTGTTCCCCTCCAGTCTCCCTGGAGAGATCATTGAAAGAGACCCTCTCCCCAGCTCACTGCCCTCGGCCCACCTATGTAAAATGCTCCCTCTCTGAGCCGAGGAGAGGGCCYGGGAGGGGCTGGTGGTTCTAGAGGCCTTATTCCCTGTCTACCCACCATCTGCCCAGTTGCTCTCTCCCTGGCTGGGACACCCTCCTCCTGGCTGATGGGGAAAAGGCCCAGGAAGCCGTGCTCCAGACTGGCAGCTGAGGCAGGTCCCTCTGCTTGCTGTTTTGTCACCATGCTCTGTGGCAAGCAGTTCTGCATGCCCCTACCCTGGTCCTCACTGGGTGAGAAGCTCCCTGAGAACCGGGCAGAGCCAAGTTCACCTCTGGAACCCCACGTCTGGCAAGGGTTCTTGAACGCATGAGGGAATGGAGGATGGGGAGGGGCAGGGTGAGGCTAGAAGTGGGCCAATCTGCCCTYGCCATCGCCTGACCTCTTTGAAAATGGGCCCAGCCTGTGAAAGGTGTTGCTGTGACTTTACAGTCCCACCAGAGGCTCACTGCCCGCTCCCCCTCTGGCTGAGGAAGCTGGCCCTAAAGCATGACAATATTTTGATCTCCTTCTGGTCTCCAGAGCCCTCTGGAAATGGCAAAACCCACCACTTCCCTGAGGCTCACCCCAGGCCAGACAGTGCTGAGTGCTCTCCCATACCCTCCTGGGTCACGGAGGAGGACAGCGGGTGGTGGAGACGGCTGAGAGGGGCACACAGGGACCTAGGGCTCTGTCCTTGTTGTTCCTATTCTGCTTTCATGAAGGGGCAAGGCCTGGAGCAGAAGCCTTCTTTGGTGTCTTCCTGGGCCCAGGCCGGCTTTCTATGGCCCTGGCCTGCCAGCCTCAGGCTCAGGGGTGCATAGGGAAGCAAATGGGAACAGGGGTCTGCACAGAGGTTGCAAGGTGTCACCCTGAGCCTGGGCTGCTTCCCCTGGGACACTGAACAACAGGCTGGGCTTGGCAGGGCCTCARTGTGGGAGGGAGGAGTGGGGGTGTGTAAACAGAGCATCGCAACCAGCATGTGCAGAGGGTGGGAGTCAGTTGGCCAAAGGGCCTCAGGGAGGCAGGGAGTTGCCAGGCAGAAGGGGGAATGGCGCTGGGCTCATTGCAGGCATGGGTCATGGGCCCACAGTCTACCCTTGACCTCTACTTCAGTCATCACATTTCAGTCAGTATTCCCAACCCGCTGATGGCCTCAAAAATATTTAAAACTCTGAATCAGGATCCAAACAAGGTCTGTACCTTGCCATTGGTCCACATGACCCCAAGTTTCTTTCTTTCTTTTTTGGTACTAGGAATTGAACTCAGGGGCTCTCAAACTACTGAGCCACATCCCCAGTCCTTTCTTGTATTTTATTTACAGACAGGGTCTCGCTGAGTTGCTTAGTGCCTCTCTAAGTTGCTGAGGCTGGTTTTGAACTCTTGATCCTCCTGCCTCCTGAGCCACTGGGATTACAGGTGTGCGCCACCGCACTTGGTTCCCAAGTTTCTTTTAACCTACTAACACCCATCCATTTCTCTGTTTCCTTGTAATTTTTCTTATTGGAACAGGATTGTCTGCCTTGAGACTGTTCCCCACAGTCTGGATTTTTCTAATTGTACCTGTGACCATGTTTGACATGTCCCCCACTTTGTATTAGCAGCTGGATCTGGAGGTTGGCTCTGGTCCAGGCTCAGCCATTTAGCCTATGGTTGCATTCTGACCCTGGAACCTGACTTTTGGAACCCCACCTTTCCATTATGGTTAAGTTATGGTGGATCCTCTGGCTTCTGTCCCTGTCGGGGGCTGATACTTCCAATCCATGACTTGTATCTTGGGGTTGTATCTAGGGATTAAGTATCTAGATACATGACTTATATCTAGGGACTAAGTAGATTCAGACAGGTTATATGGGCAGCCATGAAGGACACCCTTTCCATCTGCTCACCTGCCATCTCTGCCCACCAGCACCTCCTGGTGACAAGGAGGGACTCCTGGAAAAGATAGCTTAGGTGGTGGCAGTCATTGTGAAGACCCTCTCGGGTATCCTGCCTTTGTCCTGGGGCTAGCAGGATCCTGAGCTCAGTGGCTAGCTGCCCTTTGGGGTCTCCTGCTGAGGGGTTTTGGTTGGTCTTCCAATAAACTTAACAGAAGTCTCTGGGCAGAGGCAGGCTAAGAGGCCAGGCCAGAACAAGGCTGAAAGTCACTGCAGACCCATGCTGCCCCTCTACTGCCCCTCTACTGCTCAGTATTCTTGTAACATGTCCTTTGTTTTTTGAGATGGGGCCTCCTTATGTTGCCCAGGGTAGCCTTGAACACCTGGGCCCAAGCGATCCTCCTGCCTCAGTCTCCTGAGTAGCTGGAACTCCAGGTATAGACCATTGGGCCCAGCTATCCCCCAACACTTCTGACATGGAATCATCATGTTGGCAGGCGTGCCTAAGGGAAGATGGAGTTCCTTGGTAGAAGCAAAATGAAGGTCAGTGAGCAGGGGATCCTGGATAGAGCCCCAGCAGCACTTCCAGACCAGGACCAATTTGCCTTTTGATGTGGCTCAGAAAAAGGCCAGGCCACAGGACTGGGTTGGTGGTTCAGAGGTAGAGAGCTTACCTAGCATGCGTGAGGCACTGGGTTCGATCCTCAGCACCACATAAAAATAAATAAAGGTATGTGTCCACCCACAAGTAAAAAATAAATGTTTAAACAAACAAACAAAAAACAGCCAGGCCACTTCCAAGAGATGCTTTAGGGGACTGCCCTGTCAGGGAGAAGGGATCTGCAAATCACAGCTGATAGAACAGCCTCAGAGCCTTTCTGGAAAGAGGCAGGCTTGGCAGGAGTGTGGTAAACGGAAGTAGGAAATGGAGTCAGAATATCTGAAGACCTGTCCAGACATGCTGGCCCCTGCCAAGAGCAGAAGGTATAACAATGCTTGCCTCTGTGGTGTGAAGGTGCCACCTTGGGATGGGCCCCCAGCACCACAAAGTTGGCAAGAATTAAGCCAAGGTACAGGTTAGGGCCTGAGAAGACTACTGTATGTATGTGACCACCCTCAGAGGGTTTCCCACTGCAGGCTAGATGGTGACACTCATGGGGTAACTTAGTGCTGATTAGCAAAATGTAGCACTTAAGCACACTGGACTCTGAATACTACCACCTCTTATTAATTAGGTAACCCTGGTCAAGTTTTTAAACCTCTCTGAGTCTCCGTTTTTTGTCTGTGAAATGGGTATATAATTATAGAACTGAAACCAGCTAACGTTTATTAAATGTTTGCCATGTGCCAGGTACTGTTCTAAGTTCTTTAGGATCTATTAAAAAATAAATCCTTACGACAGCCTGGAGGGGTAGTGCTATTCTTCTTCCTATTTTAATGATGGAGATGTTGAGGCAGAGAGTGAGATTAAGACAATCTGGTCTGATTCACCTGCCATGTTTACTATGCCAGGATTCAAGTCCAAGCCGCTCTAAAATCTGTGCTTACTTAATCATTAGCCCTCATTCAGACTTGCTGGAGAGGATTAACTGAGATTAAGTCGGGAAAGCTCAAAACACAATACCTGGGCTGTAGTAGGTGCTCAATAGATAGCAACTGCAGAGTCTATTGCTGTAACTGGTAAAGGTGACAGAGCTGAACAACAGGTCCAGGGGCAAAGCAGCCTATGCCTGGAGTGGCCACCCTGCCCATGCCATTTATACAGTACTGTTCCTTCTGCAGGGATCTACCTGCTGGGAGGGGAGCCTGGCTGCAGGAGGTTGTCAACAGATTCCACAGTTAATCTCTCTGGAACCATAGCTCATGGGTGGGGCAGGCAGTGATCATGCTGGATGGATCCAAGTCCCCAGTGCACAAGGGAGCTGGAATGTTCTTCCAGAGCTGAGCAGAATGTGGACTTCTGCCAGCCCAGGGTCCTCTCACCCTGCCAGCTCTTGTCCCTGGAGGGGWGGGGCAGAGGGTGCAGAGAAGGCTGCAGTGTGCAGATGAGGCCCTGAGCAGATCATGTCATGGGATCCTGCCCTGGGCTGGGAAGGGTTTTGCAGGTGTCCCTGTGTTGGGGGAGGGGAAGGCTGCTTTCTGGGGTATGGGATAGGCCTGGACAGCAATGCTTTTCTTTTTTAAAATTTTTKTAATATTTATTTTTTAGTTTTCGGTTGTTTGTGGTGCTGAGGAGYGAACCTGGGCCGCACGCATGCCAGAGGAGCACGCTACCGCTTGAGCCACATCCCCAGCCCAGTAATGCTTTTCTGATCTGATACAAACTAGAATGGCCGGCCTTCTGGGGATACTCGGGTGCTGCCATGTTTTTCTGTAGCTGGCACGTGCCTGTGCTTAGACTTGCTCTGTCCAGCCTGTCATAGGTGGTGCTGAGCACTGGAATGTGGCTAGTATAAACTGAGATAGACTGTAATTGTAAAAAATGCACCAGATGTTGAATATTTAGTAGGAGACAAAGGATATAAGATAGCCCACTATTTTTTATATTGATTACAGATTGAAATAATCATATTTTGGCTATATTGGGTTGAAATACTATTAAAATTTTTTTGTTTCTTTTTAAAAAAATGTGGCCACTAGAAAACTTAGATATGGATCCTCTTCTAGTTCTGTTAGTGCTGTCTAGAGACCCACTGGGGTGGGGAATCTTTTTGGCAAATGGTCAGTGTTTTCCTCCTCACACTCAAGTGGAAAAGGGAGGGAAACACAGAACTTGTACCCCAAAGTCAACTTGCTACCTTGCTGCTTCCCAAAGTGACAATAACTGCTATCCAGTTGCCCCTCTCTATCCACGGGTTCCACATCTGAGGATTCGACCAACCATGGATGGAAAAATTGAACAGGTACAGACTTTTTTCCTGGCCATTATTCTCTAAAACAATACAGCGGAGCAACTACTATTGACACAGCACTGACATAGTATTATGTCTCCTAAGCAATCTAGGAATGGAAGGCTGTGGAAGGATGTGTTGTTATGTGCAGATGCTATGCCATGTTAAATGAAGAACTGAGTGTCCAGGGGCTGGGGATGTGCCTAGATCCTGGAACCAATTCCCTGAGGACACTGAGGGGCAGCTGTGATTCATGGTCACCTTCACTGCAGTCCCTGCTCCACAGCAGTCTTCTCACGGTACAAACGGCACCCAACCCCCTGCACTGCCCCACCCCAGTGCCCATCACACTCAGATAAGGTCAAACTCTGTCTCRGAGTCCAAGACCCTGGATGAGCCCACCTGCTGGTTCTCCCTGACTCCTGGTTCCCACTCTGCCCTTCTGCTGTGACCACAGTGACTTCCTTCTCTCCCTTTAGTCACGAGCTCACTCCTGCCTTAGAGACTTCACACAGCTCTTCCACTGGTGTGGACCTTCCTGTCATTGGGTCTTGGCTTGATTGTACCTCCTCAGAGAGGGCCCCTGGCCACAGCTCTGAAGGTCCTCTCCCCCAGCACTGTTGAGTCACCAGCTTCTTGGCAACCTGCCCTTAATGCCCTCCTGAGTGATCTCCCCTAGGGGCTTGTTCTTTTGCATGTCACCTGTCTCCTCTGACCTAGGTGGAGCCCTCCTGGTGAGGAGGGACTTCCCTGTCTTGCTCAGGCTGTGGGGGTAATGCTGGCGCCCAGTCGGCATGCCACAAATGCTTGTCTAATGGACAAGTGGGCTTAGCCCGCAGCACAACTCCACTACTGCTCAGTTACTCTTCCATTTTGCAGATGAGGATCCTGAGGCACAGAGAGGAGAAACAGGACGCTCACAGTTACAGAAGTGGTAAGCAAGGCTGAGTCAGGATCGGGGCCTTGCTTAGGCTTGAACAGGGAGCTTGCTGAGAGCAGGGGTGAACAAAAATTTGGAAATGCTGGCTGATGCCTGCCAGGCCCGCACCAGCCAGCAGAGTTTGGGCAAAGGGGCTCTCAGCCAACTTCTCAAGCCAGCTGGTGGGAGCCCTGCTCAGTCCCACAGGGCTTGCCGTGGCTGGGCAGGGCTCCCCTGGATAGGACACTTGCAGGGCTCTGATATGGGTGGGCCTGCAAGGGCTACCTTCCTGCTGCTCCCAAGGGAGATGGTATTCTCTCTGCTGTGCTACGTGCCATGGGAACAAACAGGTCTCAGTCCCACAGAGGCCCCAGGGGGCATGGAACCTGCTGGAAGGAACCGGGCCCATGCACAGATACAAGATCTCACTTCCTTGTCCACAGGATGAGGCCATGAAGCTGTGGTCAGCAGCCCATGGGGTCCACAGCAGAACATTCTGATTGTGGTGGTGACTTTGATCTCTGCTCTGATCTTAACTTGAGTGCCACAGCTTGGCATCAGCAATGTGTGGCACCCAGTCTGCAGAGCCCTGTCAACCCCAGAAGTAATTCTGCCCACTCTTAGCTCAACCAAAGACACTCGTGGAAGGGCCTGTTGGTGCAGAAGTGTTACCTCTATAACTCAGACCCCTGAAAGAGGGGAGCTGGAGAGGAGGAACCCTGCAGGCACCGTGCAGAGGAGGGGCAGCATCGGGGAGCCGGCAGCAGGGCCATCTGATGACTGGACTGGCAGCACCAGGGGCCTTGCTGGACCACTGTCCACTCAGGCTTAGCTGAGGACTCAGGATATAAACGAGAATGTATTCTAGAGGCTCCTTCATCTGCACTGGTTGGATCATCTTTGTTCTGGCAGAAGCCAACTGTGAGTCCTCCCTGTTTAGCCCCAAAGGGGGAAGGTGAAATGCAAACCTAACAGAGCTAGAACTGGGGGTCCTTGTGGTTTAGGCTGCAGGGATTAAAGAGAGAGCAGTCCAAGTGGAAATGTTATTTGAGGGCCCTGGATTGAGGCCAGCCTCCTGATCTTTGCCCGAAGCATCTGGTCCCCATACCTTTGACACTCCGGCACACAGAGAAATAAGGTTTTCCCTGAGAGAGGGGCTTTGGGGCACCTACCCATGTTCCATGAAACGAGTGGCAAGGAGACATGTAGGACGATTGACATCAGGACAGGAAGGAGCATGGGACATTGTTATGTCTGTGGTTGGACCTCACGGCTGTCGGAGGCTCCCTACCTCTGGATGTCCTCCCATTCCCTGCACCCCTTGCCCRCGGCACTCGGCTCTTAGCTTGGCAGGATGTGGGCCCCTTCTCACTCACCTGTTCGTAGATGGTTCTCATCAGCTCCACGAAGCTCTGTAGGCCTTTTAACTTGGTTTCCAGTTCAGTCCGTCGAAGACACTCAGCATCCAGGTCCTGGGGTTGGGAGCAGCGGTGAGAGATGGAGAGGTGCTGGGGTTCCAGGCAGGACTGGGTAGGGGAACTTAGCTTCCTGGGTGAGAGTGTGGGGAGGTGATTCCCAGAGGAGATCTGGCTCAGAGCTTGGGTAAAGGGGCCCAGTGGGGACTAGAGTATCTCTCTGTCTGTCCCTGGGTCCTGGGACTTAAGCCCTTGGGGGCTTTGTTTGGGCACAGAGGTGATGCTGAGGGAAAGAGGGTGGGGGCCCATGAGGAAGGAGCCCTGGGGCGGGCTGGGCAGGCTACCTTCTTCAGCTGGACAAAGGTGAACTCCAGGTCTGTACGCTTGGAGGTCTCGTCCTCATACCTGCGAGGGGGTGGTGGGGAGGGAGGAACTGCTTAACTGAATGTGGCGAGAGCTTGGGGTTGGTTGATTCCCTTTGGATGGGGCTCAGGGCCTCACCCTACTCAGTGCCTGTGCCAATTAGAAAAGCAGCCCATCCTTTGGGTGTCTTCTGTGACATGTCCCCACCTTCCTGGGACTACTCAGTTTTTTCCCACTAGCTCCTGTCCCTTCCTGGTTCTGCTGCATGATCACCTCCTCCAGGAAGCCTCTCTTGACTGTAGCCCTTTCTCATGCCCAGAGAATCTCAGGTTCAGACAAGCTGTGCTTCAGGATGGAGTCCCCAGGCTCCCGCTCACAGCTCCCTCTCTCCCACCTCTGCTCCCTCCCTCCAGCCCCACCCTTCTTCCCTCTGCTTTTTGAGACAGTGGGAGGCCATCATGTTCCCTCCAAAGGGAGGATGGAAAGAGGGTATTTTTGGACAAGGAACTCCCCCACCCCCACTTGGCAGCTTCCTCGTCTAGGGGTGTCTGTGCAGTGGCCGACAGCACCAGAGCTCTCTTCTCTGTCAAGGCCAACTCATGTTGGCAACAAGAATCACATTACAAATGAGTGTGGTGGCACATGCCTATAATCCCATCAGTTTGGGAGGCTGAGGCAGGAGGATCACAAGTTCAAAGCCAGCCTCAGCAAAAGTGAGGCACTAAGCAACTCAGTGAGACCCTGTCTCTAAATAAAATACAAATAGGCCTGGGGATGTGGCTCAGGGTTGAGTGCCCCTGAATTCAATACCTGGTACCAAAAAAAAAAAAAAAAAAAAAAAAAATCCTATTGCTCCAGGGGACAGGATTCTTCCATCCCTGACCTGACCCTCTTCCTCCAATCAAGATGTTTGTCTTGGCCATCTGGGTTGGTAGTGTCTGCTGACAGCCCCTGCTGGCCCTAGCATACACAGGATTATGTGGCTTCTTCCATCTTCCCTCCCCTCTAGGGAAAGCCTGAATCAGGGGCAGCTCTCAGTTCAGCCACCTGCCACCTGCCCCAGTCCCTGACCTCATAGCCAGGATGGTGTTATCCATGGCCTGTGACTGCTGGCTGGACCTGCCACCCCGCCATGCCTTCCTGTTCACCAGCCACCCGGGGAGCTGAGGAGAGTGGACCTCAGGGTGGTGAGGACCCACAGGGCACTTAGGTCTCTGGATCTCAGGGTGCTGAGTGCACAGGCTGTCCCTGGCCATGCCTTAGCTTCCAAGAATCTGTGAGAAGCTCTAGGATGTAGGTCACAGGGGCTGGGCAGAGATGTGGGCCAGGATAACAAATGTCCACAAACACCCTGATGAGAGACGGGTATGACTGGTGCCCTGGGCCACCTCCTTCCTGTGCTGGGTGCCGGCTACAGCCTCCCCTATGACCCTCAGAGCCCCAGCTTGGGAGGTCCTATGGGTCATTTTTTTGTGTGTGTGGTGCTAGGGAATGAACCCAGGCCCTGTGCATGCAGGGCAAGCACTCTACCAACTGAGCTGCATCCCCAGCCCCCTATGGTTCCCATTTGACAGATGAAGAAACAGGCTCAGAGAAGGGCTGGGGGTGCTGGCTAAGCAGGGGATCAAGTCCTGGCTTCCCTGATGACTTGCTGTGTGGCCTTGGGTAGGCTACTGTGTGTGTGCCTTAGTCATGATAATGGAGATGTTGTGAAGACCCAAAAGGTTAGGACACAGTGTTCCCAGCAGAGCCTGGCACTCAAGAAACTCCAAGGCTTGGCCCCTCCGTCTTGGTCTCTCCCATCCTCAGACAGAAGCCTCCAGAAGCCTCACTGTGGAACCAGAGTGGCTCTGCAGACCTCTGGCAGATCATCAGGGATGGGCTAACTTGAACAGGCTTCCCCCTGAAATCTGGGGGAGTCTGAGGACCTCCAAGGCCTGGGGGTGCTGAGCCCTCCCCCATCCTTTCTGGGTAGCAAAGTCCTGCCTGCCTAGGGGCAGGATATGGGGGACAGCAGTCTTGGGGGGCCCAGGTATCTCACCCCTCTCTGCCCTTTCCTTCCTCCCCACCAGAGGTCCCCATCATCCACCCTCTGACCTTCACCTGTCCCATGAAGTCATTCCTATTGCTTGGAGCCTGCTGACTTATTTGTTTACTGTGTCCCTTGAAAAACCTTAGGAGGGGATCTTAGGCCTTGGACTGGGAGCACTGGGTCTCATCCGCCTCCCACCCCCTTGAAGATGTCCTTGCTGGGGGAGTTGGGAGRTAATGGGTATTTCCAGGCCATTCCTTGCAGATCTGCCAATAGAGGCCACCAAGGACCCTGGAGAACATATACAGGGGAGTATAGTGACTATCTTGCCAGAGAAGGACACAGGAAGTATGGGAACCTGAGGAGACTCCTCATGGCCTGTTGCCTAGGCTGGGCTTGCCCTGGCCCTCCATGGCCTGGCCAGGGGAGGCTGCTGGCACAGCAGGTGCACTGGGCTGAGGCCAGACACTGGGTTCCTGTCTGAGGCTAGTTCCTAGTCCCCCTGAGGCTATCGCTGGGTCATCCCCAGTCTGTCTGAATTAGAGAGAAAGGGGGTGTGTGACCCACCTCAGCTCTCACAGCCTGATGCTCAACTGATCTCAGCCCCTCAGTGGCCTGCTCTTGTCATTAAGCAGCTTGCACAACTGTAGGCGGTGTCCCTGAGTCACTTACTGTGTGGGCTTGGGCAAGTCGCTTCCCCTTGCTGGGCCTTGGCTTTGTCCTTAGCAAATAGAAAAGTTAGATGATCCAATCYTTGGGGTCCCTGCTACCTCCAGGCCCTTGAAAGTCTCTCTCCCCACAGAGGCTTAGGTGACACCTTATCCCCAATTTCACCCTATTTCTCTGCCAGTCTGCCAGCTCCCAGCTCCCAAACCCGTTCTCAGGCTTGTCACACCTGCACCCCTCTCCCCGGTAACTTGTTTATTTCTGGGAGCAAGGCTGATCTCATCGCCTGGAGAGGCCAGGCACAGCCCCTCCCTGCTAGGGCTCCACCTGGCGTCGCCTGCCTCCTGGAGGCCCCAGGCTCTGCACAGCTAGGCTGCAGCTCCCTGGCTCTGGCCTGCAGACCCAGGAACCTTGCCACCAGACCCAGTTTTCTCCTCTGCCTACTGAAGTGGGTTCTCTATCCAGAGAGGGAACAAGAAGAAGCCCTGAGCCTAATCTGTAAGTCAGACAGCAGGCGGATGGAAACAAGGCAGCGGGCCAGGCAGGGGCTGAGCCAGATGAAAACAACGGGTGGTGTTTGTACAGGACTCCCAGCTCCACCGTGCTCCCACAGACACCATCTGGCTGGGCTGCTGGGAGAGCCTGTGCGTGGCAAGCGGAGTTGTGGGCTTAGCATGTGTGGCCACGTGCCTGAGGACAAACCCTGACCTCTCTGGGCCTCTGTTTGCTTCCTTATAAAAGGAGGAGCCAACACCCCCATCCAGCTCTGCCATTCTCTGATCCTTTGAAGGTCAGAGACCAGTGAAATGGGTGGTGGATTCTGGAAACTGCCATGGCTCCATCAGATGCTGGGCAGTTGGACAGTTCAGAATGGGCTATCAGATACCTGGGAGGGTAAGGCTCCAGGAGAGGCCCGGATTCCTGGCTTCCTGGACAGGCTGCCTCCCCACTAGCCCTGCCAGGATGGCTGCTCCAGAGAATGCAGGCCTGGCCACCAATTGACAGGACTTAGGGCTGGGCTGCGCTGGAGGGAGGGGGATGGGGGTCCAGCCGTACTCCATCCTTCCCTCACCTTGACTGGGGGGACCTCAGAAAGAGACAAGACCCAAGTTTAGGGGTACAGGAACATAGCCTGTCTGCTCTGCCTCAGCCTCCTTGTTCCTAAAGCCCTGCCCTTGATCTGGTCAGAGGGGGTCACCTGTCCACTAAGTCACCCAAGCGCCTATTCTGTCCTCCTAGACCACAGGCAGAAACTGGCTCTAGGCCAATTCAGTTCAGCAGCAAACCCATGTCAAGCTCTGAGCTGGGGACTTCAGACTTCAAGGGCATGGAAAGCTGCCCTCATTATTTCCACACACCACGCTGACCTCTTGTCCGCCTCTGCCTGGCCTCAGGTTGGAATCAACCACCATCATTCCCATTTCACAGAGGAGGAAACTGAGGTTCAGGCATTAAGCCACTTGCTCAAGGTCACAAAGCTCGTGAGGGTGGGGGAGGGGATTAATGGCCCACAGGGTCTAAAGGCCAGGACTGGGCCATAACCATTGGGAAGTACCGCCCACCCACTGTGGGTTAGCCTGTCTGTCTGTCCCACTAGGTTGCCGAAACATCTTGCAGGTGGGGACTGTGTTTACTTCCCCCATTCTGGGGCCACCCTGATGCCTGGCAAGTGTGACCTGTAGGGGATTGCATTTTTATTAAAATAAAACCCACCTTTCTGTCTCCTGCCTGTGCCTGGCTGCTTCCCCTCGTTTTTTTTCCATCCTACTGAGATCAAAATCCAAAGCCACACCCAAGCGGAAAGTCAGCTGTCCCACCTCAGTTTGGTGTGGGGGCCCAGGCAAGCGTGTTTGCAAGGTGCACATAGGGGCTGCTCAGGCCAGGGCTGAGGGTTGTGGTAGTACCCAGGGACCAGAAAGCACAGGGTCCAGCTGTGATCCAGCGAAAGAATGGCCTTGCTGTCAGGATCACCACGGGGGCGGGGTGTGTGTGTGTGTGTGTGTGGCTGCAGGGTCACTGCTGCATCCCTAGTATTTATAATGGCACCTGGCACGCGTGAGGCCCTCCATCAGTATGAATGTCTCCTAACTTTCTTTCCCCTTTCTCTGGCTTGAGTACGGCTTGGTCCCCACCCTCAGTCCCTGCCCATGGCTTCCCTAGGGTGCGCCGGGACCTACCTGATTCGAAACTCCTCCACCTTCTCCAGCACCTGCAGCAGGTTGGCCTCTAGCTGTCCCCGCTCCTGGCTCACTTTGCGCAGCTCCTCCTGCAGCCGCCCCTGGTACGCCTCGTAGTGGTGCCCCAGGTCGAAGGTGCCCGAGTCCTGGCCCTGCAGGAAGCTCCAGCGGGTCTCCAGCAGCTGGTTGCGCTGTTCCAGAGCCTGTACCTGGGAGGACAGGAGAGAGAAGAGCGGGCTAGGGCGGGGCCCATCTGGGGTGCCCCTGGGCCCCAGGGGGGCTTCCCCGAGGAGGAAGTGGTGGTTCATCTGCCGCCGGCATCCACTCGGGCTGCTGAAGCATTCAGAGCGGCACCTCCAGTGACTGATTGTTCCAGCTACAGATGCTGAGATAAGAGAGAATCGAGGTGGAGCCAATTAGCAGAGGCTTCCTAGGGCAGGGCGCTTAGATGAGGGAGGGGGAGCCAGCGCCTGCTGGGGGACTTCCTGGGCTGGCTTCTGCCTTCAGTTCCAGCCCGGTTGGCCTTGAGGATAAAGACCCCGAGGACTCTCAAGCTCCGGCTCCTACTACGGGGGCTCCTGTGCTCCATGACCCACAGCCGGGCCACCAGCAGGCTGTCAGAGTCCCTCCCCTGGTCCAGCCCAGCCTGGCCTGGGGCTTCCTCTGACCTCTTCTTTGCCCTGCTGCCCTCTCTGGGCTCAGCCGGTCTTGGCACTCTCCTGCCCACAGCCCCAGCCCTGCCTGCGCCRCTCCTCCCCGTGGGTGCTCCAGGCAGTCCACCTGCAGGAAGCCCCCTCCCTCCGGCAGGACCTTAGTTTATCTGCTTCTCCTCTGTCCTGGCCACCTGTCAGCCTGGGATGGTCCCAGGACCTGGGTAGGCCACTGTGGTGGGAGGGATGCTCCTGGACCGTGGGCTGTGTTTTGTCATGAGGACACGGTGACTGGTGGGCCAGTGACGCTCTGTATGAACACAGGCAAGCAGCTGGGTCCCTCCCACCCGTGCTGGAGCGGCTGGCCTGGCAGGGAGAGCTGCCAGCAGCCTTTCGGCTCAGCTGATCTGTATTCTTCATTTACAGGGGGTGACTTGTCACAGAGTGATTGATGGTCAACCTTTCCCGACAGGCCCCACTACTGGCTGCTGCCCACCCGGACCTTTGGGGGCTCCCTTTGCCTCCTCTCTGGCCACCCTGTGTACCTCCCCAGGTTTCCTGTTTCTTCCTGAGAGGCCTGGATGACCTTGGCAAGCCCCCTTTGAACTTCACAGCAGGTAACAGCTGCAGGAGGACTGAGAGATGGCATTTGAGAGCTGCCTAGCTCCCATCTGTACTGGTAGGTTCTGCCTAAGCCTACTGCACGCTGTAGCTATAGCTAAACAGGTTCAGTAGGGATGGAGGTCAAGAGGGTTCTGCCCTGCTTTGTGTGTGTGAGAGGACGCGCTGGGGGGGAGGTATCTGCTCACCCCACCTTCCCTCCGTTTTGACAAGCAAGAGTCCCATGTTGACACTGAGGGTGGGGTGGGAAGAGAGATGTGAGGTTCCTTCCTCCACCCACGAACAATAGAAAACCTTCACACCAGGAAGTTCTTCCCTTAGTCTAACCCCAGTGCTCTGTGCTTCACCTCTAGTCTGCTGAGAGAGAGAGTGGCTGGCCAGTCCAGCCTGAGGGCACTTGTGGTTTTAGGGGATTAGGGGTAGCCTTCTGTCTCCCACTGTCCTTGGGAGAGTCTCTTGTTGTCTCAGTGGGTGGGGCTGGAATCTCACCTCCCACCCAGGTCCCTCTCCACAGAAAGGCTCCTCCCTCTAGGAACAAAGGCCTCCAGAGCGCCCTCAGAGGTGCCAGTCTTTCCACGCCCTCCCTCTGCTCTCATCCTCCTCTCTGCTCTGGCTGAGCCCCCGCCTTTAGATCATACAGGAGCTCCGAGAGCCAATGTCTGTCTCATCTGCCTCCCCATTTTTTTTAAAAAATATTTTTTTAATGGTAGATGGACACCATACCTTGATTTTATTTATTTATGTGTGGTGCTGACGATGGAACCCAGGGCCTCACACATCCACGGAGCCCCAGCCCTGGCCCCCTGCCGCCCCATTTGGTAGACAAGGAAACCCAGGGCACAGGCTGTGGGGAGAGATGTTCTAGGGGGCACCGAGCAGCCTAAGCTGGAGCTCCTGCTGGTGCGGGGGACTGCCGTGGGGGAGGGCCACCTCGGGGGCTTCTGGTCCCCAAGCCCATAGGGCAGCACCTCTGGGGGAGGCAGGTCCTATTCCTCTGGGGAGGGCATCTAGTCCCCTGCCTTCAATCAAGGAGACCCTGAGTGCTGGTCTCTGTTCTGCACTCAGACAGGGGGATGACTCCAGGGACTTCCCGTGGTCACTTAGGCYAGGGGAAGATATGGTCCCCTTTCCACTGGGTCCAGGCATCTCACCACTGCTCTCCATGGCCTCCTTCCCCCAGCCTCAGACAGTCCTTCTCTTGTCTACTCTGCCTCTCTTGCGCATGTGTGGAGCTATGAGGCCCAGCAGCAGCCCCTGCTGGGTGTGGACGCTGCCCTCTCTCCCTCACTCCTCTTGTTGCTACTTCTCAGCTCCCTGTCTCATGATGGGACCTTGCTAGTCCCTCCACTGGCAGGAGCTCAGGGCTACCTAGAGAGTAGAGCAGTATTGAGCCATGGAATACAAAGCACAGAGAGGGTAAGTGGCTTACCCAAGGAAACACAGCTAACAAAGGGAAGAAACAACACTGCTTCAGGGCTTCTCTGCCAACCTGGAAGTCTACCTGACCCCCTACTCCTGCAGCACTCTGGTCTCTCTTTATGCCTCAGAGGGACTGGAAGGGGTGTGGAGTGGGTATCCCTTTTCCATCTCTTGGCTCCGAGCCCTCATCCTTTCACTGATCACAGCATCTTGGGAGGGGCTCTCCCTCCTCTGTTCTCCAGGGAGTGAGTTCTAGGAGCTCCCTGGGCTAGGCCCATTTTATTTGATTTTTAGAATTTAACAGTTACAAAGCACTTGCCATGTGTCAAGTGTGTTCTAACTGCTTCTCGAAAATTATCCCATTTGGTGGACAAGCCCATTCCACTGAAGTGCATTGAGGCACAGAGAGGTTAAGTAACGTGTCTGCTCTGGCTGATGACGCAGCTGGCCAGCTGTGGGGCCAGGATTTACACCTACTACGGTGCTCCACATTTCCCTCTCTTAATTGCTGCTGCATGTGCTAGAGCCCTCCCAGCCATTACTAGGGCTCCCTAGGGCAGAGTCCCAGCAACCAGGGACCCTAAACCTGGCACCTCTATCTCCCTTCATCCTGCAGGAAGGACACCCCATCTCCTAACCCTTGAGGGTTGGGAGGCTCTGTTTCTGCTAAAGATCTCTGAGGGCATTGCCCTGGCCCTAAGGGCCCCTCCTGATGCCTACACTCATTTGCTCTCACCCTGTCCCCATGCAGAGGCACAGGGTGACCTCAGCACTGGCACTGGAGGGAGAAAAGACATTTGAGGGAGAAAAGCCACCCAACTTAGCCAAATTACATAGTCAGCTAAGCATTCCTTTTAAGGGATTAACTGGAGACCTGCCTCCTCCCCAGGGCAGAGGCTCTCTGAGGAAAGTCAGCCAGCAGCAGGGGCTCTGTGTACCCAGGGGTGTGGGAAGGGAGGTTTTGCCTTGGTAGATGGCTCTTTCCTCTCCACTGACCCCCCTCTGGGCATCCAGATGTGGACCAAAAAACTCTGCTATAGGAACACGAATGGAGGAAGACAGGATTCCCACCTCAGAGACCCCTGGTTCTGTCTCATCAACCTGCATTCAAATCTAAACTGTACCATTTGCTGGTTGCTTGACCTTGGGCCAGTACTTTGACCTTCTCTGGCCCTTAGTTTCCTCATCTATCAGTTGGGGAAATAACAGCCACTGCTGTGTGGGTTCAATGTCGCTGCATTGCCAAGTACCCACTGAGGGCCTCGCACTAGCAGATGTTCCATGCATGCTACTGTTTTCCCTGCGCCCCTTTCTGCAAGCTCCCATCTTATGGGGACAACTGGCCTGTGCAGAAGAACACAGAGTCAGAACCATGATGAGGGAAAGGACTGAGCTGAAGCAAAAGGCTGTTTTTTTTTTTCTTCTTCTTTTTTTAAACTGGGAGGATCAGAGAGATAGTTTTCCTCATCTGTGAAATGGGCATAAAATGATCTTCTTTTAGAGGGTTTTGAGGGAAATAGAGATGCATATGTAAAGCACCCAGCACAATGCCCAGCGCAGAGGGCATCAGTGCAGCTGTGGATATTGTGATGGTTATTCTTGGGCAGCGCAGGAGGGAGCAGAGTTGGGAGGACTGGTCAGAAGTTTCTTGGAGATGAGTAATAGCAGATTTGGGAGGTAAACAAGACTTCCTGTGGAACTCCTTTGCTCTGGGGGCAGAGATGGGTATGAGGACCCTAAACCAGCTATGGACGGTGGAGTCTAGGAAATGGGGAGAGTGGTATGGGGGACTGGCCCCTTCTACCCAGTTGGCTGCCTGCTGGCTTCCTACTTCTGACCCGAGGCATCCGTTCCTGCATTCCTATCTCCTGACTACCCAAGCTGCATCTCCCCTCCCGCGCGGCCCCAGCAGCAGCCTCCTTCCGGCAGATCCACACACCCCTGCCAGCTCTTCTGATTGGGGAAGCTAAGCAGAGTTGCGTTGAGAGAGATGCCGCAGGCCCAGAGGCTTGAGGGATGGACAAGAGTAGGACCTTCGGAGGTCATCTCCACGGTCCACTTGCCTGGAGGACGGCAGACCGCGCCTCCACGAGCCTCCCAGGGAGGAGGCATTCCCTTGGTCAAGCTCAGGGCTCCTCTCTAGTTTGCTACGGGGGAAGGATGACCCCAGGCCACGAGCATGTTCTTATCCGGACATCGTCAGAGGCCATCCTGAAGTCCCTTTGCCCCCCGACTCCGGGATGGACCAGGACCTCCCTCCCTTTGTCCCTGCTCGGAGTTCGCCCGCTGCGTTAGCAATGCTGCCTCCCCATTGGCTGGGGGCAGGGGCGGGGCATGATGTCCAACTCGGGGGAAATAGAGCTCCGCCTCCTGCCCAGGCCTGGCGGTCCTTGGCTTTTGGTACCCCCTCCTGCTTCTGCTCACCTTGCCAATCAGGGAGGCAAATTTGTCATTGAGGACCTTCATCTCCTCCTTCTCCTGGTTCTTCTGCTGCTGGATGGCTGGGTCCACTTTGAGGTCCAGGGGCACCAGCAGGCTGGGGTTCACGGTCACCTTCGGGATGGTGCCAGCTGGCCAGCAGCCTGTGAGGCTTCGGGAGCTGAAGCCTGGCACAGGGGGCCCGCAGCTGCCCCATCCTGACGTTCCAGGCCGGGGGCTGCCCGCTGGGGTCACCTCACAGCCGCTGAGGCTGCTGAAACCAACCACGCAGGACTGGCAGGCCATGGTGGCCCCCCGGCCTGGGAGCGGGAGGGCCCAGGGATGAGCGAGTGAGCCTCGGGGTGGAGGAGGGCGGCAGGCGGCTGCCTCCTGTCGCAGCCAGGGCAGGCTGGGGACTGAGGTGCAAACACCTGTCGCACAGTGCTCATTACCTGCGGGAGGGCGGGACGCCTTCAGCCCGACCAACCTGTTAGATGACGTGTTGCTCTTGCTCCTCCCCCGCCACCACCACGCTGCGCTCTCTCCCCAGCCCGGGATCTGCCTGGCTGAGAGGGCTGGTCCTGGCCAAGGGAGCAGGACCTGGCCTGGGGAGGGGGGCAGGCTGGCTGGCTGGGTTGGGAGTGGGGAAGCAGCATGAAGAAGGTTTAATAGGAAGGAGAGAGAGAGAGAGAGAGAGAGAGAGAGAGAGAGAGAGAGAGAGAGAGAGAGAGAGACTGTCACCACCGAGCTCATGCATACCTAAGGGCTGACGTAACTGGGCTCACATACTTCTGGAAAAGATGAGGCAAGCGCTGCTGCCAGAGCTCCCTAGTGTAGGGCAGCTGTCCTGGGCACCATGCCAGCCTGGCATCAGAAAACAGCACCTTTATTATTTATATTATTTTTTTCTAGCTGCCAAAGAGCCTCCCTGGTTTATCTTTCTCCCTTCCTTCCTGTCTTTGCTCATTACTGAGGACCTGCTAAGTGTACCCCTCTGTCTCGGGGCTGGAGGAAGAGATAGTCAAGGCCAGAGTCCTTGGCTTTGGGAAAGTTCGATTGGGTTCAAGACATCTTGGCTGCTCACTTCTCTTGGAACCTTGGGCCTTTTACTTGATTTTGTCCTCATTTGTAAATTGTGGATGAAAAGCCAGGTTGTGGGAAGGTCATCCTAGGCAGAGCCCTGGGTGGCTGCAGTACAGGGTGCTCATAGCCGAGACAGCCCGCTTCGGGGCCCAGGGCTGTGAGAACACTTCCCTGCTGCCTCCATCTCCAGTTTCCCATTCCTTCTTCCTCACTCCTCAGGCTCCTTTGGCCTCTTTCACATTCAATAGGAAGGAGAATGAGAAGAAAACATATGACCCCATGGAGTCTCCGTGGGACAGTAGAAGGTTCCTCAGCTGGTGCTTTTCCTGCCTTCCCCATGCATCCACTTCCAGGGCATCGCCCGCTCTCTGGTCTAGCCTCTTCCTTCCTGGCCTGATGGCCTGGTGACCTGGTAGCTTGGTAGCTGTTTCTGTGTGTCCTCCCTGGACCTGACACACCACCCTTAAGCAGAGAGAGGCATGTCTCTGGGAGATGGTCAGAGATGGAGGGGTCTGTGCCCCCACTGGGACCATCAGAAGTCCTGAGGGGTTCTTGCTTGCCAAGTTGCATTGCCACCCTGGGCCTCTGCCCCCCATACAGACCTTTTTCCCACAAGTGGCTCAATAGGACACATAAACTCGGGACTCTGCACCAAGTCTCTGATTCATCCGGATCCTGGATCCCAGGTTCTGCTCCTGGGTGGGTTGGTGAGGGACTTCTGGGTGACTGGGTATCTGCAACAGTATCTGTCTCCACTTCTGCCACCTGCTGCCCTACCCCACTCAACAGCCACTTGCAAGGCCATCCCAGCTTCCCACCATCTTTACCCTGGCCTGGTATCAAAATGGCATGTGGTCAGACATAGCACCTTGATCTCCCCTCCCCTGCTCACCCCTGCATGCTCCGTGGGGGAAGGAGGGGGCAGGTAAAGGCATCTGGGCTCTGCCAAGGCCACAATAGCTGTGGATATGTCAGGCATGTCCCAAATATTCTCTTGGTCCTCACTACAACCACCACTTGAGGTAGATGCTTGAATTCATCACCCCTCCCTGCCACCATTTTCTAAGGAGAAGATGGGTGGGGTTAGGTGCCTGGTTCCAGGGCACACATTTTGTCAGTGATGGGTTTGGGTGTAGAGATGTCTGGATTAGGGGCTCTTTCCCTTACCTTAGCTTCTAAGTTCTGGTAGAAAAGGGAGTTGGCTTGTTCTCAGCATTCAGCCGGAGTCAGGGTAGTCCCCTGCCTAATTCTCCTTCAGCTGGATGCCTAGCTCTCAGAAGTGTCTCGGTGCAGCTTAAATCTCCTATTTCTTTCTGACTTCCATTGGCCTCAGTCAGCTCCCGAGCATTGAGAAGTCACAGTTCATTGCCAAGCCCCTAGTTTTTAGGCTAGCCTTTTGGGACTTGTCTCTGGGGACCAAGCATGATATGGCTTTTCCTGGGGGGGAGGGTGTCCTCATCTCTGTGGAAGAATGGAGGACATGGGCCAGAGAAGAAGCAGCAGGTGGGTCCCCACATCTTTGTCCCRCTGTGCATGTCCTACCATCCCTTAGGAGGGATCTTCAACTGTCACAGCTCTGGCTGCCAAACAGGAACAGCAGCAGRAAATCCCCAAACAAACAAAACTCCACGGAACTGCCTAGCCCTGCCTCCTTCTCCCTTCCCTTGCTCATCCCGTACCCTCTTTCCTCCCCTATCTCCACCCACGCCTCCCTCTGCTACTTGGGGTTCATCTGATCTAGGCCACTGTCTCTGACCGGGGGTTCCTCTACCACAGTCAGTGGGGATCTCCATCCTCACTGAGGATCTGAGRTGGCCCTTTTCTGGCCTTTGTAAGAAGCCTGACCACCTGGGGGTTCAGCAGAAATCCTGGGGGAGCTGGATTCTGGCTGTAGGCATCTCATACCTTCTGATACTCTGGTAGCCTGTCCTGGTTTGTTCTTGCATGGTTCAGGGACAGGAATCTTACTCTCCATCCCCCCAGTTTATACCTTTGACCTTGTTCTGTAAGTGGTGGCAATTCACAATTCTGCTCATGCAGGAGGCAGAGAGAGAGGACAGAGGAGAGTCAAGGGCTGTTCAGAGGCAAGGGACCTGGAGAAGTCTTGCCCTCCCAGAAGCCTCTGGGGCTTGCTCCCCTAGCAAGAGGGGGCTTTCCAATTTTTTCTCCTTCTTCCACTTTCTCTCCATGGCTCCCTYCTGACCTCTGATCGTCTCTCTCTTTCTCCTCTGCCTCTCCTTCCTGCATTTTCTGTTGTCTAGCACTGACTTTCTCTTGTCTCCTGAAGCTTAGAGTCCTGGCTCCTCTGTCTCTCATCCCTGGGGAAAGAGAGGTGTTTGGATTTGTCTCTCCATGGCCCAGCTGACTGGCCCTGTGGAATGGCATCCCTGTGTCATAGTTTCAGTGCCTCCTCTTTGCCYTGCTCCCCATTTGGCCCGAGGCCTGGCCCGTGGAGCGTGGGCCTCATAACGCAGGACAGTGAGACATAGTTGCTGCATGAATGTTCTAGTGAGCACACGCCAGCCAGGCCCAGGCTCTTGGGCGGGATGCAATTCTTGGGGCAGAGGAGCCAGGAAAGAGTTTGGCATCTGYGGGATAAAAATCTTAGCCTCACTCTAGTGCAGGATGGGAAGGAGGGCCTCTCCAGGAAGCTTTCCTGGTGAGCCTGCCCAGGTTCCTGTCCATCTCTCATTCTCTCTTGAGGGTGTATTGTCCACACCTTGGTTATTAGCTGGGTCAGTGCCCTCTCCCTGGTGAAGCTGGAAATGCCCAGCCTCCTTTCTCTGGATCTTCCCTGTGAGCAGGGCCATTAGGAAACTGCAAGAAGGACGTCCTGCCCAGGGGCCAAATCCTGGGAATGGGGCCTTTGGGCCTTTGAGTAACTGGGTTATGTGATGATAAGAATTTATGAGGGCCCCGGAGCTGGAGACTGGGCCATTGAATGTAAGTTTGGGAAGGGAAGAGGCCCAGAAAGGGGAGACTAGCAGCAAGATGGAGAGATGAGGATTCCGCCACATGTGCTCTGGAGACAGGGAGAAGACGCCGACCCAAGGGACAGTGCCTGGGACCCCTCCCGGAGGGGGACAGTGGGATCAGGCCTGGAGGAAGAAGAGGGGTTGTCCAGGCAGGGAGGAAAAAGGTGTTTCAGGTCAGGTAGCATCATGAGCTGGGAGGTGAGAAACTGGGTGGGATGTGGTGACAATGACGAGAGCCAGTATTATTGGAGTGTTGGAAGTGCTGTGGAGCTCGGAGGAGCCATGGCTTCCTCAGGAGCCCTTGGATGCTACACTCACAGAGCCCTGCAGTGGCTCCCCGTGGCTTTTGGGAAGAAAGATTCCTTGGAAAGTCAAGTGAAGTCCTGTGCATTTGCTGCCCTTCTTCTCTACGTCCCGGGTCCTCTCTGCTTTCCTTCTCTCTGTACCCTTCCCTATCTTCCTCTCTCCACCTCCAAAGGCCACATCTTTGTGGACAGTGAAGTGGTGCCATGTGTCAGGGCTGGGCATTTTCATCATCAATATGATTTTATTGGATAGCACTAGTCTCTAAAGAAGGCCTCTGAGATGGGCCAGGAGGCTGTATACTCCTGGAGGCTGTGACCTGATTCTAGACAGCATGGGGCAGCAGCAGGAGCTCTGGACCTGGAGTTAAGAGACCTGGTGTCTGGTCTGGGGCTCTGCCATTCACCTGCTATGTGGTCTGGGGCCAAATGCTTGACTTCTCTGGGCCTCCAGGGCCTATCAAATCAGGTTATACTGAAGGATCATCGTTTTTCTTCTTTTTTCTTCCCATTTTGGTGCCATAAGTGTTCCTCAGACTGTCATCAACCCCCAGGCTATGCCAGGTACTCRGTTTCCACTGGGAACCAGGGCCCTCGGCCAAGTAGCCTGCTGCGGAGGTCGGGCGGGTGCGGGCCTTCTGTAATGAGGGCAGGCCTGGAGGGCCGGGGGGAGGTGAGCACAGGCTAATTGCACTTTCCCGTCTTGAGAGCACTTAGCCCAATTTGTAATTATTTATTGTTGGTTGTTTACATGTTTATGTCTGTCTCCCTGGCCGAGCTCTGGGAGTGTACAGGGTGGTGTGGGGTTTGTTCCTCAGTGTCCTGACACAGTGCTTGGCACCCAGTAGGTCCCTGATGACTAGTTCTTTCTGGAATGAGTAGAAGGCTGCCCTTTCACATAGGGCACTTGTATACCGAGAGCTCTGGGATGCTCTGGAGTGACAGACCCCGGGTGGGCTGTGGAGGAGTCAGGTATGGGAACTTCCCACCTCAGAGGCAGGCTCTGGAGCCCCTCCCCAGCCACTTCCAGATGAGCCCCAGTTGATATGGCTCCTCCATCTGGGGTGTCAGGTGGACCTTTACCAATCAGCTCCTAGAGGCCTGTGTCCTTCCCCTTGGGCTCCTGCTCAGTGTCTGTGGGAACTCTGAYGCCTTCCCGTCATAGCCAAATAGTTTAGTAGGGAAAAGAGTAGGAGAGTAGGGTGCCCCTGCAAAAGGAAGCAACAGAGGGACTCGGAGGCCCCAGTGGGTCTAGAGTGGAAAGA